ATGAAAATGTGCCGCTCAAACACTATACTTTTCTGCTCACACTGAAAAAAAATTAGAGGGAACATTGCCTCCCGCCCGGTCAATGGTGTCCCGCTTTACCAATGTTAAAATCTGGTCACCTTACTTTAGTCAGATGAAAGACTGACATATTTTTTAAGCAAGGACCACATCATACTAATTCTAGTTAGGCACGACGGCTTTTCAGCATAAATGCAGATGTCCATGGTGTCCTATCATGGCTCCTCATGCCAAAAGGCCTCCTCCTCCCTTATCTTGCCCTGTCTCTTCTTTTCTCAACTTCATTTCTTTATTTTATGGAAATACTCTCAGAGAGCAGACAAGCTGGAAAAAACTGCATTGAGGAAGAAGTTTAAAAGGAGGAATGACAAAGCATAGCTGGACATGGAATCACAAGACCTGTAGCTAAAATATAATGAATCACAGGGCTTACTTTTCTACTTAATCCGGCAGATAATGTCTTAGTTGTCTTTTTTAAATGCTCTTCAAGAACTAGAACTCGAGCTATTCTGAAAAAAGAAGAAATGTTGCTGTTTTAATCTCTACATGAGGCTCTTTGTATGACAATTTTAAAATACAGCCTACTCCAATAAAATAATAGGAATGGATATGTATGTATGTATGTATGTATGTATGTATGTATGTATGTATGTATGTATGTATGTATGTTATTCAGATACACAAAAATACCTGATTTTTTGCTAACTACTCAGAAAGCAATTTCATACTTTCCAGAGTATTGTTAATTTCAAACATACAGCCTGAGAAATTAAATTCCTAAGAATGAAAAATCTTGGAAAATAAATTTTGTAATAAAAAGAATATCTTGGGCTTCACTACCTATTAATGGCTATAGTAGCATCATCCTTCTTGATCCCTTTTACAGCTGCAAAAATCTCCAAATGTTCTTTCATGGTCAGATTGGACCAGAGCGGATTCTCCTGAGGACAGTAGCCAAGAGCAGCATTTTCCTCTGTCGCAGCTCCATCAGCTCCTTTAATATGCACCTGTTCCAAATAGGTAGCATAAGTTCCTCATTTGCTTTTGTCCAATGTAAAAATATATTTTGAAATATCAAAGATGTGACAAGGAGCATTTCTGACCAATAAGGACTGTCATTTATATTAAATCAGTAAGTTTTTTAAAGATCTTAATGTTATCCAAGAAGGAAGAGGAGACCTAGCACAATATATGAATAATGCAGAAGCAGACAATATGGCAGATCATAAGGACTGTGGATAACTAAGTGGCAATGAAAGTGACATTGGAAGCTCCACAGAAAGTTTTCACTCCAATCATGATGCCTTTGATAAATTAATAAATAGATTTTTTTTCAATGAGTCTCTCTTATCTTCATCTATTCTCTGATATATTACAGTAATATTATTTAAAGCGATTATATTGACATTGCCTTCCTAAACTGGATACCCAGTATTGCCATACAATAATAAATAACAGAAATATAATATGCTTTTCTTTCGAAAGGAAAAGTTACACTTACTTGCCCAGCAGTTGGATCCATATCTCCCATTATCATGCTAATTGTTGTACTTTTACCAGCACCATTTGGTCCCAGAAGCCCTAATATTTCTCCTGCAAAGAAACCATTGCTGTTAAAATATAACTTAAAATGTATTATATATGCTGCTTTAAGGAATCTCGGAGTTATTTTTTTTTATTTTCCTAAGAAGTAGGGTTCAAAGCATAGACAGGCCTTCTCTCGTCAAATGGCTGCTGTTGTATTAGGTCAAATGCATTTGAGGGACATGTTACCTTTTTTAACACAAAAAGAAACATTTTTGGTAGCCAGTTTTCTCTTCTGCTGTTTGTTGCAACATGGAGTAGAACAAGCCTTTCCATATCTGTACTCTTTGCACAAGTTGTGGACGATGATAACTGGTTTCTAAATAAAGAGAAGGAGAGACAGAAAGACATTTGTGTGTGTGTGTGTGTGTGTGTGTATACATATATATATACACACAGTGTATACACACACACAAACACACATATACAGATATATTTCTATCATTTGTTTATTCAGAAAAAGCCAAATAGGCATTATCTTTCACCTGGGACAGAAACACCTAAAGTTTAGTTTAGTTTAATTTAGTTTATTGTCATTGCATCTTGTACAACGAAATTAAATGCCATCTTCAGTGTACATCATACATAAGTAAATTATATAAAAAATAAAAATAAAACAAAAATACACATTCTATACAATTAAATTGAAAACTCCTGATACTGCATTAATATTGCACTATAAAGTAGAATTCAATACAGTTACTGCTCAGGTATAAAAGCTGTTTTTCAGCCTATTTGTCCTTGTTTTTATTGTCCTGTACCGTCTACCAGATGGTAATAGTTCAAAAAAGAGTGCCCAAGATGAGATGGATCTTTAAGAATGTTTTGAAATTTCTTAAGGCAGCGGGAGCTATAAAGCTCTTGCAATGAGGGGAGACGGCAACCAATGATCTTCTGGGCAACAATGTTAACCCTCTGGAGTGCTGTCCTATCTGCCACTACGCAATTAACAAACCATACACAGGTGCAGTAAGTTAAAATACTCTTTATAGTGCAGTGGTAGAAGGTCACCAGCAGTTTTTCACTCAGTTGTTGTTTCCTGAGAAGTCTCAGGTAGTATAATCACTGCTGGGTCCAGCGCTGCAATGTGAGCGCCTAGATCAGGTCCTCTTTTATGATAACATCCAAAAACATAAAATTGGCCACTTGCTCCTCTTGTTCTCCATTGATAACTAAGGACTGGTTCTCTTGTTTCCAAACAGATCTGTTTATCTTGGGAGAAGATTCCTTGTTTTCAGAAGTTAAGTCTGCTTGGATCTAGACTAGCCAGATTAGTTTAATGCAAATGAGAAATGGACAATTCCAGAGTTGTCAGAAATGGGGTTTCCTTGGCAAGTTTAAAACATATTTATTTCTTCTTCCATTGTCATATCCCATTTAGTATCCCTCTTCCAGTTATCCTTTAAATGGCTTGGGAAAATGTTTCTATAAGCATAAATGTTTCTATAAGCATATCCTTTTTGAATAATCTGTGTATGGTTCCACCTACAATAACTGTTTCATCGAAAGAGTGTTTAGTTTTTCAGCCATGTATCCCCACAGAAGTGAACAACATTTTGGTGGTTTGGCTCTCACCTTTATTGCTGGAAAATATTTTTGGCCTCTGAGAAACTGTCTCCATTTTAGAGTTTGAAAATATTTATATTTTCATAGCTAAAGACAAATAATCTGACACATGTCCCTTATGCTTCCATAAGTCATTTTAAAAATTGTTCAATGATCTTGGTAATTAGAAACACTAGTTAGTCTAGTTCCAATGTCAATGGCAAATAATCTCTTTGGTAGAGGTGATGCTTCTGCTCATAGCTTTCTCAGTACCAAGCACAGTTCCCTAATATTCCTATCTATATAATGAGTATATTTTGCAAAAGGAATGGTTACTAATACCAGCTTGGTTTGAAAGAAATAAATTTATAAATCAATTTGCTCCAAAAGAGTGAAAATAATGTAGAAAACAAGGTAACAATGATGATAATAATGCAATATAAATACAAGGTAAAATTGCAATACAACAATATCCGGATGACCTGGATATTGTCATAGGGCACATGGGTCTTTTGAAAATGCTACCTTGGCAACTCTGGACTCTGGTGTTTTCTTTCTTCAACTGTATCTTAGTATCCCTGAGAGCAGTCCTGATAAGTATGTCCCTGCACAGTGTAATTAAGCCATGCAAAGTGAAATGTATGCTTGTGCATTTAACCACGCTCAATAAGCAAACCACAAATATAAATGGAGCAACTCATACTGTATGTATTTTTTCAAAATATAAAAAGCCCAATAGATATGTTTTACCTCTTCTTCATTGGCAGAATCCAGTGCACTCTGAGCTCTGGTCCTTTCATCTAGGATGTCTCTATCAGTCTCTTCACTGAGCTCCTCGGGATTCTGATAGGTCCTTTTTCTTTGAGGAGAAATCCTAGGGATCAAAGATACAACAAGTCTGAAGTGACTGAATATTAAAGTATAAATGTTGATTTCAACTAGGAAAGCAATCAACAGTCCAACCTTGAAGTAGAAGGTTGGTGGAGATCTTATGTGGTAACTTACTCAATGCTTGTGCAGCTCTATTATTTATATTACTGCTTTTCTTTGCTCCCATTTTCTCCATCGTTGTGGCATGATTAAAGTGCTTGATGGCTCTTCTTTCCCTTGTTATCAATGTTCCTTTACTATTCTGAATTAAATGAGCTCTTGTCAAGTTTCTAAGCCACTTTAACAAACCAGGTAACCAATCTACATATGACCAGGTTCACAATATTCAGCAACTTGACTTATACTGGATAATGGTTATCACCACAAATGGACCTATCTTTCCACAATCTAACTTCAAATAGATATGAACAACTTTATCCTGCAGGTAACATACAAATTACTTACAACATCCTATTGAAGGAAGTCCTATAACTAATGAACATATTTTACAAAAGGAATGGCTACTCACACCAGCTTGGTTTCAAAGAAGTAAAAATTCTAAGTCAATTTACTTCACACTGTAAGTGTGACATTATCAACAAACTTGAAAGCATGGTATGAAATAGAGAATAATTTATTTTTCCTTAAAAATAACACTGATAAGGTACCCTTATAAGGTACCATTATTTTATATTTTTAATAATGTATTGAAGTGTTTAGGAGGCTTAGTAAAAACTAATAAAAACTACAATAGAAGAAAAAAAACTAAAAGTTCAGAAGATGCAGGAAAAGAAAAACACAAGAAAGTGGCTTCCAACCTTCATCAACAGAGTAATGTAATCTTGTACGTTTTCACCCTATTTTAAAGTTACTAATAAAGAATTCTTCTCTCCATAGCCTAACTTTTATTTATATACAATCCAGAAATCATCGTCCTTTCAATCCTAGGAAAAATTCCATTAGGAGGTACCAGAAATATTAACCAAATAATGTGTCATTGATCAAATAGTCCAACTTCATATTCCTCCTTTTTTGGTCTGCACAATTTTGACCTCTAAATCATTCCAAAGGTATCAATCTTTAACATTTGGCAGGAGTCTTCAAAACCTATTTTGTAAATCCCATCAAGGGATCCCGATCCAGGATTTCTTGTTGCAACTCTTCAATGTCCAGTTCATTTTCTTGATTTCCCTTTTGGTATTTCCATTTTGGTAATCTCATTTTTTTTTACTTCCATGCCTTCAAATGCTATAATGTCTATGCCAGGTAAAAATGTTTTCTAAATGTTATCATCATCTAAATATTTATCCATTGAAATTTGTATCTTTTCTGAGATACTTGTTATTTAAATCTCAGATTACTTTTCAAAGGATTCTTTAACAAAAGAAAAAGTTATCGCTGAGTTAGTAATTTTAACTCTTTTCTACCTGGACCTTTAGTTTGCTCTAGTGTTCATTTGCAAACTTCATCAAGCTTCAGTTCCTAATATGGGTATCATTCCATTTAAGTCATTTCCCATTCGTATGTTATTTAATCATATACTTGTTTTTTAATCTTTCAGCAAAAATAACCAATTTTTGAGATCTTTCTAGTCTCCCAAACCATTAAAAACTTTCTTAAATCAAAATCCTTTTTTTTGCTTTTTGTCAATTGCAAGATATTTTAAATTCTTGAGTCCCTATTTAAAAAATGTTGATCCAAAGAAGGTAACACTGACCGGGAGTCAATAAAGCTTGCCTTTTTGAAGTGGTTAAACTGAAAATTTCTTACAAGTTTTTTATTTTTTTATTTTTTACAAATATATCAAATCAATGTGTGAATAGTGTGGTACCTGGGTGTCATAAATTCTAATACAAGTAAACTGATAAAGTTAATCATAATTATTACATTCAATCAACTTAAGTTTTTCTAATAATCATACAGATTTATATTAGGTTGCAATCTATCGTTATTCAATTCCATGTTTTTTCTTGATATTACTTTTATTTTATTATATAAAATGTATATATTAATATTCCCTCTTCTCTTATTTGTATACTTATTCTAGCTTTAGTCCCATCATCCTTTATTAAAAGGCTTTTTCTTGCTATCCTGTCTTAATTTCTAATCATGTCACCCACCTAAGAAAAGAAAAGAGAGAGAGAGGAAAGAAAAAACAGAACAACAAAAAAGATGAATCATCTATCCATCATCTCATGCCCCCTTCAGTACTTTAATTGCTATGCTTAAAAGGAAAGAGAGAGAGAAAAAAAATCAGAACAACAACAACAAAAGAATTATCTATTCATCATCTCTTGCCCACTTTAATACTTTAATTGCTATGCTTTTTTAAACTTGCCACTGAAATTCCTCTCTTGGCTCTTTATTTCTGTCGGAATCTCTAAATATTTCTCCCACTTCTACCCTCTTCCACTGCCTAGTCCCAAATTTTCTGCCCAGGTCCCTGTTTCCCTTTCAAACATATCTTCCAACTCTCTTAATACATTTCCCCCCTGATTTAATTCATCAATCACTGTTATTTCCATTGTTATCTCCTCTTTGTCTACTTCTTCATTTCTTCTGCTGACTCCTCCCTTTCCTGAGCGTCTTGTTACTTCCTCATCATCCCTTGTATGGTATTTTCCATTTTTCCATCAGCTCCTTAAATCTCCATGGTGTCTTTTGTGCTTTGAAAGAGTTTGGCCATAGTTTGAGCGCCCATGTTCTAACAACATTCAGGAGTCCTTATCTGGATCTCTAGTAGTCATAGGGTAGTTAAAAATAATCCAATGAATATTTTCAAAATTCTTCATGCAGGTCTTTCCAGGCTGTAATTTTCCCTTTTGTCAGCAGGTGGCATTCTCATCTTAAGTTTTAGTATTGCCACTAATCAAGCCTTCTTTTGGTTATCGAACGACCATGAAAGCATAATAGGTTTTGTAAGTAAATGATTCCAGCATTTTAAAATGCTTTCCCAGTACCACTTCTCCCAAATAAGAATCCAATTTTCTGTATCTTTCAAAATTTATTATTTTTCTCTCCCACGTCCCTCACTTCAGGTCTGGTAAATTCTCAGAATGCTTGGGTGCCGCTTTTACAGATATTTCTGAGCAAATAGTTCTAAATTTATTCCTTGGGGTTAAATTTAAAGAAAATCCTCGCCCCCAGATCCAGCCATTGTTCACTTGTTTCACTCCAGCACCAGTCTTAGATGGTCATCGGTTGTCACAGCTTTGTGGCAGTCATCTTTAGCTGCCTCTTCTTCTTGTCGTGGCTGAGAGGGAAAGTGAACACCAGGGTTCCGGGAGAGCTGTGACTCTCCTTGACTCACAGGGTGCCCCTCTTTGCTTCATCACCCCTCCAGGATGGCTTTGGCCCCTCACAGAGCCCACAAACAAGAATAATTCAGCACAGTGGATGAACTCCATTATCTTACATCTGAAAAATGTTGCGACATTAACCAGCCGCCTAAACTGAACATTTCTGAATGTGATTAGAAATGAGTTCATCTGGCTTAGTATCCTTTTTAAAGGCTCTGCTGTTCCTGAGAGCAAATATGTTGTTTCCCTTAGATCATGGCATCAAACACATGGAGGCCACTGCTTTATGGACATCTCACAGGGAGTTGCCATTCATAGCACTCGTGGGTGATCTTCCATTATCTCCTTCTCTGGAGAAATTCAAAGGATCAGCCTGCTCAGTGGTCTTTCATTCTTCACCATGGTCATTTCTACTCTTTTGCAATAATATCTTCAGTCAGCCATGACTCACATCAGAAACCGGGAATTTCTTTCAGAATGGATCCCATCATCACAACATTCAATAATCACAAACATTATTTTAAAAAACCCTATTTATTCCTCTTTGCATTATCATTTTTTTAAAAACTACATTACATTTATAGTTCACTTGCATTGGTGTTACTATTAATATTATATTTTACAGAATTGTTCTGAGCAGGAGATGGGCAGTTTCTAAATGTGTTATATAAATAAAGACCTAAATCTCAGAAGAAAATTCGAATGCTGGGAAGAATTGAAGGAAAGAGAAGAGGATGATCAGTAGCAAGGTAGATAACTCAGTAAGAGCAATGAATGGGAGATCAAAAATCATAGCTTAGGGATAGATGATAATGGAGAAAATCTATGTATGTGGTCACTTGGAGTCAAAAATAACTTAATGACGCATAATCAATCAATCAACCAAACAATTGATACATGCATGCAGATACACACTTCCTCTCCTTGACCCTACTAACATATATACCAACCTAAATACAGGATCTCTTCTCATAACTGGTCTGTCATATTTCAAAACCAGATAGCGAAGTAAAAAAAGGAAAATTATGCTGTGGATGTAAGGCTACATAAAAACACAAACAGAAAATTATATTGAACATATGTACACCCATAGAGGGATCTTAATTTAACACATTTAATTCTGTATTTGGTTAAATATCTCTAGATTTGGGGAACATATATACAATGATTTTGTGGCAGACTTAATATTTAGAGAAGGAAGACTTTACTCAATCTTTTATGTTAGTATAGTAGAAAAGTCCTTTCAAGTAGCACCAGTATCAGCTACCTCACAATTCATACTGAATTAGAAGGCTTAGGCAGATGAGAAAAGAATGCCATCATATTTCTGAAGCTAGCAAACAAATACTAAATGCCACCACTTATTGATGTACACCAGGGGTGTCAAACTGATGGCCTGCGGGCTGATGCCTCATATGCAGGCTACGCTCACCCCAGCTCTGTGAAGGGGAAAAACATTGTGATATATCATTGATAGCAACGTGACATGTCGAGTTTGACACCCGTGATGTACAGAATCATTTCCTGCCTGAAAAAGATGATCATCCATACTCCTGCAAGTCTCTTGAATATATCAGAAAAAACCCTCCTTCTTCACTATTTAACCTCATAGGGATTTTTATTTATTTATCTGTATCCCGTCTTCATTATTTTTACAAATAACTCAAGGTGAAAAATGTATCCAGCACACCTCCCTCCTCCTGTTTTCTCCATAAAAACTCTGATTTCATACCTAAAGAGGGATTAGAACTGATACTCCCCTACTTTCTAGCCTGGTGTCTTAACCACTTGAACAAACTGGCTCTCCATTTTAGTTTATTAGTTTAACAAATTAGAATTGGATGGGATTAGTGTACAACTGAATTGCAAGTATGCTGCAGTTCTAACAGGAATCTCTAGAATCTGAAGTTGGCTGTATTTATGGACGTTTATGTGAAGATATATGTAGATATTAACCTCTTGGATAATAAGATAAACTGACTACATTAATGTTTTTCTTAATTTTTTTAAAAAATCTCTTTGCTATAAGAGTAATACGTTTGTTCCCCACCATGAAGAAAGATATCCAGAACTCATCCATATGTAAAATGTGGTATCCTGCATCATCAAATGCATAAACATCTTTCAGCGTCTATATAAAAATGTAGATAAAAAGCAATAAAGTCCTTAAGTACAGTTTTTACAATTCACTCTGAAAGTAAAACAAAACTTTTAAAAGAAAGATACTTGTTTCTCCAGAAGCAAAAGATGACCTAGCTCAGGGATCAGCAACCCATGGTTTCTGGAGCCGCATGTGCTTTTTTGATTCCTCTGCTGCGGCTCCCTGTCGCTGGTTGGCTCCACAATTGATAGGTCTTTCAGTTAGGACAGGTAGAGAAAAAAGGACACTGCGCTAGGAGGAGATTCTATGGTGGGGGAACTGGACTTCCAGTTGGCTTCAGAATTGAACAGAGGGCTTCTGGTTAGGACCTTTGTGGCTCTTTGAGTGTTTAAGATCGCTGACCCCTGATCTAGTTACATATCATTTTTTACAACTGCAAACAAAAGATTTCATAAAATTGTCCTTTAAGACAAAAGAACACCCCTGATGTGGGGGTGGGGGAGAAAGCAAGGAGAAGTGAACTGTATAAGTGTTGTTCTTTTTTACAATGTTTTATTGGTACACATCTGCATTGGGGACATAATTTGGGAACGATGAAGCATTTACCATGGATTAACCGAACAAATAAGAGTAAGAATAAAGCACAGAGCAACAGTATTACACCCACAATTAAAAAGTTTATTCCTATTCTTAGATTACTTGTTATGCCTATTCCAGTTCCTTAGTTCCAGGACCTGGAAGTTTCTTTGTCCCCAATAGATAAAATTTCTTTGTTTCATGTTCTTTAGAAGGGGATTGTATGAGGCTTGGTAGTGTTTTGAAATTGTTCTTTTTATTTGCCAATTGTGCTGCAGATCGGCAGATGACAGAAAACCTACTGGGCTGATTAACATGTGAATGGGAGACCATCAGGAAATAACAGACTGTAGACTAAGCAGGGAAGTTAAAAAAAAATCTTCCCACCAAAAAGCAATGGCAACCCCGTTTTGTACTCTTTTCTTACAGAGAAAACTACATAGTGTAGGATCCTTGGTACCCTCTGAGCTTAGTTGTTTTCCTGCAGTTACATTACTAGGTAAACATTCTAGTTTTCCAACTAAGTAACATCACTAGTGCGCTGATGCTGTTATCTAGATGGATAATGAAACATCTTCACGAAAGCAACCAAGCTCAGAGAGCATCAAGGACCACACAGCTCAATCCTGAGCTACAAATATTCTCTTCTATAGAAAACTTAATAGACAGCAGAATAGAAACTTGACTCAAGGGATTCTTCCATTTTCTTATGCAGACATAGTTTCCTAAGGAACTTCTGATGAGCTTGATGAAGGTTACACCAGATTTCTAGAAAGGCAAAGGAGCATTCCAAGATACAATTTAGGTCCCTTTACCTCTCTTAAACAACATGTTCCTTTCTACCATTTCACACATGAAAGGGCATGGGAATGGAACTGGAGTGAATGTCCAATCATCAAATTTATGTAGCCCAAGGGTTTGCAGCAGAGTTGGGAAAATGAATGAAACTAATGTAAACTGGTAGATGTTTGCCATAAAATGCTATTGTTGTGTAAAGTTATTTTTTTCTAGTTTTTGCTGCAGAAATCTGTTTGCAAATCTGTAGGCTTACTGTTCCAGTTAAGTACAATATGGAGTGGTCTTAACACTCATTTCTGAATTGAAGTAAGAAATAAAAGTGCATGGCCAGAAGTGGCCACAGAGCAGCATATCTGATTTTATTGGATCTGTGAAGTGCAGGGAAGAATTAGATCACCCTGGTGGTTAGGGAATTGGCAGAAAGGCCAATATATTAAAATAGAATGAAAAAAGATGGGGACTTCAGGATTGGAACTAGAGGCCAGCTACTCCAATCCAGTAGTTGTCCATCCAATGGCTTTATCCATAAATATGATGGAGAAATTTGTAAGGCCCTAAACCTGCCCCAATTTTCACAGGAATAGGCTTACAGACAGGGGAATGGGACAACTTGTCACAGCCGACTGGTTGCAGCCAACTCATCATGGCCAACTCTTCACAGGCCAACTCACTGCAGGACAATGTAACAATTCTATTTAATTGTTTAATATAAATTTTAAAAATGTTTTAATTTTTGCCATTCACATTTCATTCTGTCCCTCCTTTCTTTAATGCCACCATTTCTTTGATATTCGTGTAAGTCTTGTTCTGCAGCAAGTTATCCTGTGGTGAGATGGCTGTGGGGAATTGTCATAGACCTGACAAATAGTACGGAATTTTATCTTACCGTTGAAAAGTAAATTAAAAAACTAATAACTGGAAATATAGGAATGAAAACATCAAGTAGATACATCAGAGGTGGTATAGCTGTTACAAACATTGCAAATGAAATCACAGACACCTAAAATGAAATAAGAAAATATATGAATGTTTTTAACTTGCTAAACATCTTCACCCAGGTATCCTTTTCCATAAAGTCTGTTGTGCCTTTACTCCTTAAATTTACACCCCAGCTAAATTGCTTATCTAAGAGACATCTAAGAAATGTCTCTAAACCTGTTCACACTTGTCTGTTACAATTAATACTCTCAATTTTCATTCCTTTCAACATCTGCTGTAAGTTTTCTGCTGCAGAAAACTAGGTCTCAATTCTTCATTTTGCTAATTTTATTGTCTCAGTTGTGAAAAATTGTTAATGGTTGTTGAGATAAAGCTATTGCTCAAAAGAAATATATGCCAGTTGTCAAGCATCCAAATTTTGATCAATAGTAGTAAGTGTGAAAAACGGACATACGTCACTTTCTTCAGTGCTATTGTAACTTTGACAACCACTAAATGAATGGTTGCCAGTCAAGGACCGCCATCTGGGGCAGAAATGGGTTGCTGCCGGTTCAGTCCAGTTTGGATGAACCGGTAGTCGATTTCACACCTGAGTCACAAAATCAGAAGGGACCCAGGCCTGCAACACCCCTGAACTGGTTCCCTCGCCGCCGCTTGGCTGCCACCATTTTGGATTTTAGTGATTGCGCCTGCATAGTTCACTGTAAATTGTTCTATGCATACGCACAGAACAATTTCCATTGAACAGTACATGTCTGGCGCACATGCACGTTGGTAGCGAACTGGCAGTAGTGCCGACAGCAACCTACCCCTGACATTGGAGGGAGGAAAGTGAGGAGAAGTGAATGATTTGGTCGCATACTTACTAATATCAAGATGAATGACCAAAAACTGGCAGTATGCATTTTTTTACGAAATATGAAGGCAATTACATATAGGAGTAGGACAAAAGAGGTACTATAACCAAGCAGAAATATCACCTGTTTAAAAATAAAGCCTGAAATTAATGGCATGCAACTTTGTTGGAAAAATAGAAACAAATAATTCATATTAATATATGCAAAATTTTAAATATTGTAACATTTAAATAGTAATACTTACAAAAGCATATTATATCAACCATTTCATTTAAGGACCTGAGTTTAGCAGATGCAATCTACAAAATCTATTCATAAACTTTATGTTTCAAATGTATAAAAATCCCATTTGGATTTCATGGATTGTTTGTTTTATTGGACAACCCTTCACTCCAAAACTGTCGGTTTACCAGATTTTAAATATATATATTTTATATATTCGTTCTGTCAGAATGCATAGGGTTTGTGCCAAGGGTTATTAAGAACTATTTCACATATGCCATCACCGCCATAATGTAGAAAAAGGATGGCGAAGCACGTTGTTTTGCAGTGCTTGATTCTAGAGATAGCTCCAACAGTAAATGAGTATAAACTTGGAAGTTTATATAAAATTCAGCACGTCACATATTTCTTTAATCTGCTTTGAGGTTTCTAAAGTTTTAATTTAATGGGTTAAGTATGTTCAGGTTGACTATTTTATTTATTTTTGTGGGATGCGATCCAGGTCTGCTTTTGTTGTGTGACAAATGTTCTACCATCCTCTTGTTTCGTCCTGTCAATCTTTAAATTAATTTGTATGCCAGAAGAAACAATGCACACTTGTAATATTTTTAATTATATACTAAAATAGCAAAATAAAAGAATGTTAGAAAAAAAGATACAGGTTTGTCCAGTCATGTCCAAATCTAGGGGACAGTGCTCATCTCCAGTTCACAGCCAAATATCCAGCATTGTCACAGAGCACTGTTACCTTCCCACCAAAGTGGTGCCTATTTAACTACTTGCATTTACATGTTTTCAAACTGCTAACTTGGCAGAACCCGGGGCAAGAACAGGAGGTCACCCTCTCCCACGGTACTTGATTCTGAAACTGCTAATCTTTCACTTGACAAGCCCCGCATCTTAACCACTACCTTGAGCCTACATCACACACCAGCAAGCCCACTGGTTATACCAGCTGGAACTGTCTTATAATGATGTTACCTGAATAAATATGGAGATAGAGTTGCCATCTCAGCTGATTACAGGGCCTTTGTACCAATGTCTAGTAGCCTCTTTGTTATTCTTCAATCATTTATTGAAATACTTATTTATAATTAAAGATAGAAGCCTACCATTCAAAGCCTGAAACTTTGTTTTGCTATGGATTATTAAATAAGTTATTGATGGCCATAATAGAAAAGTGTAATCTTAAATGTTTAAAATGTTGTTTAAATCATAAAACTTACCAAAACTAAATGTAAAATGCTCCAATTCTTAGCACTTATAACGATTAATTTTAGCAACCATGGCAATAGTGCTACAACAAGTAGAGCAAAGTGGAGAGGAATATCTATCAGAGCTTGTCCACACCAATATACAGAAGGCAACAGCCCTGAGATTCGGAGTTGAGAGTGAGCTTTTATCTAGCAAAACAAGCAAACAAATAAATATTTGGAGGGGAGGGGAGAGAGGACAGCAGAAGTTAGTTTAGGTTTTGAGGTCACATTGTAAAATCAGACAGACAGACCTTTTTAGGCCATTACTACTATTATTTACAGGTTATAATTTCTAAACTTTACATGTAGAGAGAAAAAGCAACACAAAATACAGATTTATTATTTTAATGGTTTTAAAATCTGCCCAGTATGTAGGATAGACTACATACTGGATAGTCTATGTATGATTAGACAGATTTAAGACAAAAGAAGGGGAAAATAATTAAACAGGATATACCAGAGTTAACATAGGCAATTGGACTGTGATAACAAACATAAACTGTGCCACATGTGTATCTTCACAGTGATCTGATGTTTGCTTTTTAATCAGTACAACCTTGTCAATGCAGTAGAATATTTTAACATAAATTTAATTAGTTTTACCTTGTAGTCTTGCATGCTCATCATTGCAAATTGAGGTGGAAAAGCAGACAGAAATATGAAAGTCTCAAACATTTGTAATTCCAAAAAATAAAACGCAAAACTTTCCTGTTGAAATTCCTGGAAAATGGATTTTTTTAAAGAGAAGGCTTTATATGTGATAATATGGTATAATGAAACAGTTGTTCTAAATATGTTTACATGGCAAGCTTAGATACAAATGATAATGAAATTTAAAATAATATAATTAATTGATTCTTCCACATTTTAATGATTTTTTTAAAATCTACATTGATTCTTTTAAAAAACATATTCGTGTACTTTCCCATTGGTTCTCTGCCTCTGTATTTATGATCTTATTGGAATACTTACCCCTAAAAACATTTGACTCCAAATTCGAAGACGGGCAGTGGAATTAAGCATGTGTAAAAATGCATTGCTGATGATGTTGACAAGCACAGGAAAGCAGTTGGTTATTTCTGTGTGGCACATAAGTGTGAACCTGTATTTCTGAAACAAGGCATCAAGTTAGAAAAGAGATGAATCAAGAGAAGAAAGTGATCAAAAAACAATTATAGCCTAAGGGCCTCATCAGGTTTTTGACTGAGAACTAGGATAAAAAATAATTTACATTTAATACAATTATGTTAAATGTACTTAATACTTTATCCATTTTGGTACATTAACAGTTTCAAATCAGTTTATGCCTCACTAGTGTTATTTGTGCTCATTTTAGATTAGAGGTAGTCTTTGACTTACAACTGGTCATATAGCAACTGGTCAAAGTTACAACAGACCCCTCAGAGCTACTTATAACATGTTTTTGCATATCCTCCTGTGGTAACATCAGAGGTGGATTCCTCTTGGTCCTGTCCAGTACACCAGAAGAGGTAGTGAAAATCTGCCATACCTTACCGGTAGTAACTGGTAACTGTAACCATACCGGTAGCTTGGCCACGCCCCCGAACCTCCGCAGAAGCTTCTTTTTTTAAGCCCTTTTTCCTTGCCAGTTCAGGCAAGGAGAAAGAGGTTTTTAAAACTAAAAGAGAGAGGGGGGGGGAGAGGGAGGAAGGAAGGGAAGGGAGAAAGAAAAAAAATAAAAAGAAAGAAGGAATCTCACTTTTTAACTGGGATTCAGCAAAAGAGAAAAAAAATGCTGTTGCTTTAAATTGGAACTGAGCATGCCTGGCTGTGGAATTCTGGGAGTTGAAGTCCACAAGTCTTAATGCTGCAAACTTTAAATGGAAACCTGTTTTAAATTAAAAAGCTGCTCAAAAGCAATAGCAATAGCAATAGTTAGACTTATATACCGCTTCATAGGGCTTTCAGCCCTCTCTAAGCGGTTTACAGAGTCAGCATATTGCCCCCAACAACAATCCGGGTCAGACATTGATGACTGACTGTCTTAATCGTGTATGATTTGGACTGTTTGATGGACTCTGATACCTCTATTTCCAAGAAAGTAAAAG